TACCATTGTCAGCCGAGAAACTGGATTTTTCGAAATTTCTGGGAGACTTACACAATTACAGTTACATTAACATAGGGATCGGACCAGTTACACTCACACAGGGATCAGAACCAGTGTTGGCAAATGATTGCCAAGCTTGGCGACTTTTAACGATTTCTCTAGAAATTTGGTGAGAAAATTTAGTCGTCAAAACCACTGCCAACTTAACTTCGCTTTACCCAACCTCAATGTTATATGGGCTTTACCCATGGTAAACCTATTTTTCCAGCGATGCTTCTTTTCTCAAGCTTTTTATGTTACATCACGCAAGAAATACTATAATTTACACGTAATTTAACTAAAATTATTGATATGTATATAAAATTGGTAACATTTTCTCCTTTCCAAGGAATGCACGTACCGGGCAGTACAAACCCTGGACAGGAAGCCATATTTACAACTAAGAAAAATCAATAACTGAATACTAAATGCAGTACTAAAATAATAATTTTGATAAACAACATGCAGCTAATAAAATGCATGAATAAATGCATGAATTTACAAATATATATACACACAGGACATGGTCTTTGTACTATTTACATTAAATACACTGGGGACTACGTACAATGGTCATAGTAAGAGGCTAGCCTGTCCTAATGAATGATTTTAGGCTTAGAATTTGATGACTTACGGATCCGAGGTACGCCGTCGTTAATCCTGTTTAGTACCGTCCTATGGTGACTGTAATTTAGGAGAAAGTCCTTTTCGTCAAATTGGATTACATAACCACAGCTTGTCACTTACGTTGAATCAATATCCTGTGGCTCCCATGTCGTATCGGGTCTCCACCTTCTGCAGGTGGACTCGCTCTCGTGTAAAATTGTGCATCACTTCATACCGTCTTTGGAGATCCTGAATATACGTCTCAGGCGATGAAGGCGTATCCCGAGGGCGTCAAACAACAGACCGAAGAGCATCTGGGATCGGGAATAGCCGTTAATCTTGTGGAAGGCACCGCGATACACCAGCAAAAATAGAGGTAACTTCTGATTCAAGTCCTGTCGTTTCCTGGAAACCATCGCGAGAGGTTATTAAGGGTGGTTCGTTTAAACCTCTCTACCATGCCATCTGACTGGGTATGTAAAGGCGTCTTTTGGGTTTTGTCGATGTTGAGTAGCTTGCAGGTTTCCTTAATTACAGCCGAGATAAAATTCCTTCCTTCGGAATGTAGCTGAAGAGGCACTCTAAACCTGGGACCCAATGCTGCATCATTACGTTTGTTACCTGGATAGACCCTTGATATTAGGGATTGGATACGCTTCAGGCCACTTAATGATGTAATCAATGATAACGAGGATTTCTTTGTTGCCATCAATAGTTCGTCTCAAAGATTCCCAGGATGTCAAACGTGATGCCTTCAGAAGGCGCTTCTGCATTTTAACTTTGCAGATTCTCTTGTCTGCATTTCTTCGATCTTTTCTGGCGCGCACACGCATCACAAAATTGGCACGGCTTTTGCACGTTAGCCCTTGCGAAAATCCAATAGAAGCTCTCAAAATCTATGCCTCTTCATCATCAGATCAAAATTTTGGTACAAGACGCCGTTTCGAATATGGAGTGAGTTCCAAAGAGCTAAGTATTGCTTTGTCATTGGATTATAGATCGAAATATCGTGCCAGGTAGGTTTTTCTATTTGAAGACTCCATTAAATTAATTATGGGTTTAATATTGCAGTCTTCCATCTGGTAATTCCAGGCTTCTTTGTCACTTTATGAGTCCCGGTGAGACAATGTTGAAGTTGTGATCGGATTAACCAGCTCATATTTCGCTTCGATCCTGGAACAATATCGGCAGTTCTGGCAGGGTTTTCTGAACAGGGCGTCGGCATTTCGCTGTGACGACCCTTTCCTATGACGGATAGTTTTGTCATATTCCAAGAGTCTCTCTATCCATCTGCTTGTTTAACCTTTGTGATTTTTGAAATTTAACAGCCAGTCGATGGTGCATGCTTTGTGCGAAGCAGGAATTTTTTATCGCAGAAGCGATAGTGGAAATGTTGTACGGTTTTACTTATGGCGAGCAGCATTCAATTTCGGCATTATTTATGGTAACCTTTACTTATGGCGAACACCATTTTACTGGTGACGCAGTAATTCCTCTCGTGTTTAGATAGAAAACAGCACCGACACTCTCATTGCTTGCAAGAATGTGTCAAGAATGTATGGGGTTGCTGAGCTGAGGATACGTCAGGTTGTCGCACATGTTAAATGCATTCTCACATTCTTTTGTCCACAAGAACATTTTTTGCTCTCTGTCAGATTGTGAAGAAGTCTTGTGATGGAAGAAAAGTTTTTCACAAATATACTATATTAGATGCAAAGCCTCAACTGATGGACATTTTCTGGGAGTCTCCATTCTTTAAATTTATGAAAGTAATTTCTTTCTCTCATTTCCTCTTGACCTGCTTCAATCGGCCGAAAGATTTCTTAAGCAAGTCAAGATTCCAAAAGATTGAAGCAGGCCATCTTCCCTTCGCCAACATTCATCTCTTCTTTCACAGATTTGATGGCCTCTTCCCTCTTTTCTTTGAATACAGCCAAGGCTGTAATCGGCTGTCTTAGTTGCTCGTCAATCGCTCCTGTCACCGGTAGCAGTTTTGCAAAACTCTGAGCTCAACTGAAAACTGTTGCTTTCTCCCATCTTATATATTTTCCCCGTCCGCTGAGAAATTTTCAGTACCTTCGATTTCTAGAAATTGCTGGAAGGAATATATAGTTACATAGTGCCGATTACACTTACATAGGGATTGGACCAGTTACAGTTACACAGGAAGCCAAATTTGGAAATAATCTCCAAACTTGGCAACTTTTAACTATTTATCCCCATATTTGGCGACAAAAATTCGTCGCCAAAAGCAACGCCAACTTGACGCTTTTTACCTCAACTTGACACTATCTGGTCAATTTGGTGACATAGCCTTTTACTTCATTTTTAAATGGCTTTACTTCATATCCCTATATTTACAGCGATGCTTTGCTTTTTGAGGCCTTTTATATTACATTAAAAAAGAGATACTACAATTTACATAGAATTTGGCTAAAATTATTTACATATACAGAAAATTCATAGCAATATGATTGTATGTAAATAATTATAAACTTTATTTCTTACTATACCTTAACTTTTGGCGGCCTTTCGATTCTGGTAAAGCTTGCAGGCTTGGAGAGAAATTTCTAAAAATTATCTGAATCGCGGAATTGATAAGTGCTCATCAGTCAGTCGGGTCGTTTCTTATGAATTTTGAACTGTGAAAAAAAGTTGTTTGCATATAAATATATTTCAGGACAAAACGATTATTCTTAGTGAATAACTTGTAACTGAGCATATTTATTTTTTGACAAGTACGAATGAAAGTTAATGAAATCTCTTATCTTGAAATTTTTGAATGAGGTTTATTTCACACTCTAAATAAGTTAGCTCCATTTATAGATTTTCTGTTGCAATATTCGTGTTCGTTCTTAATGAAAATGAAAATAATATTAACTCGGAATTCAAACAACTAAAATCTTAAAATCTTTGCATAATCGTATTTGAAGTAAATACGTAAATGATATGTCTTCGCGGGTCGCAAAAAATCACTTCAGATGTCACATGTGACCCACGGGACGCCAGTTTTGAGACCGCTGGCATAGAAGTTCATCAAAAATAGAAAATTTGATTTGATTACTGTTCGAAAATTTTGCAGACATCTATAGAACATATCTGTCTATTTATAATTCTACATAGGCTTTTTAAATTTAGATATGAATCAGGAAGGTACATTTTTATAGAACTCTGTTCTGGGTAAACTTTATAAAATTTCCATAGAATTTTATAGAGAGGCATCTATCTATTCTATAAATATTCTATAATCTATAATTTGTAAATCTAAAATCTGTAAGCTGTTCCGTAACTCTGTGTGCTATGTAATCTATGTATTCTAAAAAATGTATCTGTGATTTGGCAGATTTCTATAGAATATATCTATTTAACTATTTTTTTAAAAGGCTTTATAAAATTTCTACATGATTTTGCAAGACAACTTTTCTATAGAATTCTATTGTGTGAAATCTTCATAAAATTTCTATACAATTTTATAGAGAAGCATTTCTATACAATATCTCCTATAAAGCTCTATACGAATTTCGATAGAGCTCTATCAGCCTCGATAAAATAATATTCTTGAAAGAAGTACTTTCGTCCTAAATTTAAAATATTTTATTAAATTTTTAATGCTGTACTAGCTTGCGAACATATACAGTATTTTTTACCGTTACTATTACTATTACTGTAATCAGGGGCGTAGCTAGAGGGGGGCAAGGGCGGCATCTGTCCCCGAGCGCAGAATCCAAGGGGCGCCAAACTGATGTTACGACATTTTAGAATTAAATGTTTTCCATCCTTGGCAAGCAGTAGGGGGCGCGAAATCTTCAGTTGTCCCTGGGCGCTGAAAACCCTAGCTAAGACTCTGACTGTAATAATTATAATAATAATCTAAAATATAACAATGTAAAACAGTGTATCATCCGTCATCCATACAGCTTTATACTGACCCTCTGCAAAACATAAAATATTTGTTTTTCAAATTTCATTAGAAAACTTCGGGATATAAAAGAATTGGGCTACCACTCCAAATATATCTGTCTTTCGAATTTAATAAACAAATTTGGGTATTTAAAAGAAATGTATTATCACAGCTTAGATTAAAATATTTTTATATTCCACGCGGCAGTGTTTTCATTGTTTCCAATTCCAAGTTCAGCAAAGCGTATGATATTTAATTTTTCTTTCAAATTTATTGTTATTAATTAGCAAACTACTCGATTTAAAAGTAATAAACACAGATTCATTTCAGTTATGATTAATTTCTAGAGGGACTCATGACTTTACATTATCTTCATTCATTAAATTATTTTGCTGAATTCCGCTGAACTGTTATTGTTGATTGAAAAACTGTTTTACAATTATTGTTCTTTCAGCGGCAACCGTAATTACCATGGTGCTAAATGCAGCTCTTAGTCTTCTCATTTTATCGGAAGAAATAATCATAGCTTACCTCATTTTGCCTTGGACACCAACCAGTAGGTAAGTACCTAATTCTGAAGTTCTCGGGTCAGAATATTCTAAAGAAGAAATATGTTTATATTAATTATTTTCTGGACTTTAAGTAATAATTCAATTTTTGGAATTACTGCAGATTTATAAAATAATTTCTCTTGGTAGGGAAAAGATTATTATTTTTTTATTTATTGCAAAAATAGGTGCTTTGATTTCTTTTAAATTTCTTAAAATAAAAAGGCAAAGAAATAGAAAATGGCGATTTTAAATTCGCTACCTTCGTGGCCAGCAGCCTAAACAGTTAATGTAAAAAACAAGAAAAAATTTAATAATTTTAATGAGTCCAATTAGTAGTGAAAAATAATAAGGACGATCAACTGTATTCGTTGCTTTGAAATCGCTTAGATTGTTAATCAGTAATAGACAGATAAAATTAGAAAGAAAAATGGAGTTATCTTACGTTTTGCTGAATGCCAACAAACTAGAAGATAGAAGAAAAAATATTTCATTTCTGGCAGAGGCAACACATTGCTTCTCTTTCGCTGACTACATCTGTGTTGATTAAATTGGAAAGACAGATGTCTTGCACTTTGCTGAGAGGTAACTTTCTTTTAAATAGTTGAGTTTTTAAATTAGAAAAATGTATGCTTTGTCGAATGGAATGCAGGTTTGATATCACTGAGCTTATCAACAAAACTTAATTAATTTTGCGCAAAACGTTAAAAAAAAAAGGGGGGGGAAGGAAGAAAGAAATCTGAAAGGATTCAGATTTTAAAGTCGCAGAGGATTTGTTAAGATTTTTTATGCTCTCTATGAGCATCGCCAGGTAACCAACCTACTATTGAATTCACTCCTATTGACTTTTTTTTTTTTTTTTTTTTTTTTTTTTTTTTAGGCTTATTATTCGCTTCGCTTTATTCGCACTTATGCCACATAAAATAATATTAAAAAACAGCATACATATGGAATTTTCAGTAGAGTGTTAGTTTTTGCCATGCTCTTTTTTTTCCTTTTACATTCTCTATATTTATTTTTCCTTTGAAAACTTTTCGCTGGAGTGATCAGCCACCTAAAAGAATTGTCATAAAAATTATATAATGATTTTAAAGATCCCAGCCGGTGTCATTTCATAAAAATATTGAGTATTTCTAATTACATATCTCATTTTAATACATGTTTATTTAAATCAATGAGATTAAAATGTAGAGATAAAAAATTTTTAAGTGTTGTTTTTCAATCCCTTGCTTTCCTACTTTCCGGTAACAGAAAGATTAAATCTGAAAGTTAAATTCTTTCGCTTTACTGAATGTCAACACGCCGGAACATGGACAGAAGCATATTTATTTGAGAGGGCAATTTTCAATACAAATTGCACAAATTTAATTATAAATTGTTAATTTTAACAAAATTGAAATAAAACATTTTAACATTCAAATGCAAATTAACAGTAAACGACATGAAAGTGAATAAACACGCATTGAAACCATTACAAAAACGAAAAGTTTAATTGCATTTTCATTCATTCATTAGAAATCCGATTAAAGAAATACAAAAGTAAAAGTTTCTTCAATCATTAATCCGAGAGAAATATCATTGAATAAAAAAAACCATTTATTCTTATTAACTACGGTAACTAAATTTAGTTTAGTCATTAACTACTTCTTACTACGGGGAAAACAAGAAACCGGTTGTATGTTTCTGAATCAAGCTATTTAAGAATTAAGCTAAACAATTTTATAAAAAAAATATTTAATAAATATTGCAATAATACATCAATACAGATTCACTAAAATCGAACGTATGTGCAATTAGAATCTGTAATTTTGTTTCTGAAAAACTATTTTATATTTATAAAATTGAAAAAAAAATATATATAATCTGAACGTCTTCAGATTTTAGCAGTCACCCTAAAGGGCTCTTTTAAAGTTTTATATGATTTATCGGTAGATGTTATTAGTAAAGATTGCTCAGGTGAAATAGCGAAACATGTTTTAACATTCTAGATGGAAACACATTTAGACTGACATATTAATATTTTACCTCTTCTGTTTTTTTGAAAAGTGAAAAACACATGATCAACTCTCTTAAAATATTTAATGTTTTTAATTAGATATATCAGGAATTAAAGGCAATTTTATTTCTATCAATCGAATTAAAAAGGAAAAAAAATAATATTCTTAAGAGCAGCAACTATTATTTTTAAATAACCCTAGTTTGTTGTTTTAATTAGCTATATCATGAATAAAATGAATTTTCATTTAACCGAATCATATTTAAAAAGTAAAAAAAATAATAATACTTTTAAGAACCTCATCTATTGATTTTTAATATCTTAGTCTGTTCATCAATAATAGACAGATTCAACTGAAAAGGTAACATTTTCCAGAATAATAAGAGACTCGAATGAAAAGTGAAACAGCGCAAAATAAGTTCCGAGAATAATAGCCGTTTGGAGCTAAAAATAATAAAACATTTTTAAACCATTTTAATAATAATAAAATCCTTTTTTCCAAAACCAGTATTTGCCTTCTTTGTATAATTGTTATCTTGAAGTTATATAAGCGCTATTATTCATATTATAATCATGTTGTATGTCGTAGAGGAAAACGTAAGGGAGGTCGATGAAGAAAACCATTCTCTTGAAAGAGTTCGATGCAAGAAAAAGGTTCAGAATCCCTGACGAAAGGCTTTCTACCCCTTTTTTGTTGTTGTTTTTAGTGTGTGGAAAACGCAGAAAGTTATTAAAACTTTAGTTGAAACTGAAACTCTTTGGAGAAATGATTAAATTTGCAGCCCTGAAGAATTAGTCCCAGAATTCACCGACAGATGACACTACCACTGACATAAGCTAAATATTTAAACAATAACCAATAGATTGGCGGCCGAATGAACAACTTTGATTAAGGTACTGAGTTTACACCAGCAAGAGCCACTTAATGTGACCATGTTTATTGACGGAAGATAACCGAATGATAATATTAACCTTCTTTTTCCAAAACGAGCTCTAAAATGGTTTAAAAACGGATTTCTTCGTACGTCTTTACGTACGTACTTATATCTCGCATAACTCGAAAACGGTTAGTCGCATAACGTTGAAATTTTGGATATGGGACTGCTATAACATCTTGTTTTGCCTCTCCCTTTTTTAACGTAATCGACAATACCAAAAGTGCACACACACACACACATATATACGTATATATATATACACATACATACATATATATACCTATAGAATAATGTGAGTGCTCTTTTAGTTTTGATAAACGATTTATTTATAATAATAGAATGTATAATATTACAGAGATCTTCAATACCAGCATTGTTCTATTTTCATATCAGTATCCAAAGTGCTGTCAATTACAAGTTACTAAACATTAAATGTTAAATGTTGTCATTTACAAATTATTAAATATTACATCTTCCGTTTTTTTAAAGAGTTTAATTTTTTTTCGCCACCGGTTTAAAATCAGTCCAAATTCCTGGCCGGCTTTCTAATCACTCTCCCACTTCTAGTTCTTTGCTCATCATCCCTTGTTTCTGAGTCAGCAGTGTTTGGTAGTTGTTCTTCTAAACGTTGCCCTTGAGAAAATGTGGAATCATATCCCTTTACATCTGTTTTCTGTGCATCCTTGTTCTGTTCCTCTGATATTCTCTTCAACAGCTGAACTGTTTTCTCTAATGTCTTTTCTATTTCTTCTCAATACTGATCCACATGACCTCAGTATATATGATCTAGGCGTCTTATAGACTTCTTCTACAACTGCTGGTTTCCAGCGATTATCTTGACATACTCTAACACAATCTCCTTTATTTAGCGATGGTAATGGTTTTGTATGACGATCATAATACGACTTCTGCTTAGTTCTTTCTTGGTTGATTTTTTCTTTTACGTTTTTCACAACTTGAGGTTTAAGTAATTCTTCGGATATAGGAAGAATCGTTCTTGTTCTTCTACTCATAAGTCGTTGAGCTGGCGATCCTAACATCTCATTAGTTGGAGTGTTCCTAAGAGCTAACAATGATAAATAAGGATCAGCATGATCTGCTTGAGCTTTCTTTAGCAATTTCTTAACCGTTTGTACTGAACGCTCTGCTAATCCGTTCGACTGTGGATGGTATGGACTACTTGTTATATGTTTAAATTGGTATTTCTTTGCAAATTCTTCACTGAGGTCCATTATCTGATATCTCTATCAATGGTATATCGTATCTTGCACAATGAGATTTCATGTAACTGATCACTGTCTGACTTCGAGTATCCGATAGTTTGGAGATTTCAAAAAAGTTGGAATAGTAATCTACAATTAATAAGTATACATCTCTGTTAATCTCAAATAAATCTGTTGCAACTTTATACCAAGGTAAATTGGGAACTTCATGTGGTATCATAGGCTCTCTTATGTTTTTATTCTGGTATTCATTACATATAGGACATTTTGAAATTTTATCTTCTATATGCTTGCTCATAAGTGGCCAAAACAAAACATCTCTAGCTCTTTTCTTACATTTTTCTATACCAAAATGACCCTCATGAATTAAATTTAACATCTCTTTTTGCATAGATCAAGGAATAATTACTTTTCCTCCTTTGAAAAATAAGTCATTTTCCATTGTCAACTCATCTCTGTAGTCCCAAAATACTTTGACTTGAGGTTCCACCTGATGTTTCCTTTCTGGCCAACCTCTCAGAATCAGAATATATGTCTTTAGGCACTGTAGTGTAGCATCACATTCAGTTTCTTTCTTCAGTTCATAAATTTTGTCATCAGATGCTGAAATCAGTGGACAAATTTCTGCATCTTCATCATTATCTTCTTCTGTTGTATTCAAATATGCTCTACTCAAAGTGTCTGCTATTAATAAGTCTTCACCCTTTTTGTATCGTACATTTAGATCATGTTTTTGTAAATTTAACAGCATTTTTTGCAATCGCTGTGGTGCTTTAAAAAGAGGTTTCTTAGTTATGCTTTCTAATGGTCGATGATCAGTTTCAACTGTAATACGCTTGCCATATATATATTAAT